CCCCAAAACCCCAAAACCCCAAAACCCCAAAACCCCAAAACCCCTAAAGAGGATGTAAAAGTTGAAAATGAGTTGGGTTAGGAAGAAGATGGCAGTTTTAGTTCTTCGTGAAGAGGAACTATTTTGCGCTTGATCTTTTGGATTTCTTGCGCTTCGCGGTTGGTGATGGTTTTAGGGGAAGCTCTCCTCATTTGGTCTCTTTTTATTTCGACTTGGCTTGAAGTTTTATTTACAGTGATGTCACTCATATTAATATTCTTTTCCGTAAATCTGCTTAGATCTCTCTGTTGATTCTAAAATGAAATGTCATATTTACTCTTTGTGACTTTTGAGGTTCTTTCTGTTCTATTTCTTTAACTTTCTTTGATCTGAAACATTTTTTTACAGAATCGAAGATTCCTCCAACTAATTAAAGAGAGTTATTTAACAAAGAGGGAACAATACTTTTTCTCCAGTTAAAAAATCAGATAATTAACTTTTTATGCTAAAGATTTTCTAAAAATTTATTGCATTTGAAAATGTCGAATAATTTATTGGCTTAGCAACGTTAATCTAGCTGATAGAATGCGGGATATCAAGCAACTTAAGCTAATCTTATATCTTTTAAGAAAAATACTGATAATTTTAAAGCATAAGTTTGTCACAGAGATTTCTTCATAGCAAATTGCATGTTAACCTTACCGAAAATAATGATAACAACTATTGTTGAATTTGTAACCATTATCCACAAATATGAACTAGTTGGCCATCCTTTCCAAGTATTCTTTGAATTATGTTTGAGGAGAAAAGCAACAAAGAAGATGAAGAAGACTTCATTTATTCATTCCACCAAGTTATTTATCATGTTCTCCATCGGCCTCCGATAAAGCAGATGACAAGTATAACTTATCTGAACCAATAACATAAATGACACCAAGAAGATGCATCCTTGCTCCTCAAAAATTATCAATAGAACACTGAAAAATATTCTTCTCAAAAGTAGTAAAGGAGTGTAAAGTCTAGACGGGCTTGTTGGCTTTAAGCCTGCAGTAAATTCACCTAATTCATCATGAATATCTTTTTGATCTTCCTTCCAGACCTGCAGAAATGATAAAAGCAAGCATAAAAGGCAGCAAAGGATCATTAAGATAGAAAAAGATCCTGAAATGATTTCATGTAGAGGTAGCTCGTTTATTCTTCATAATTCACTAATAGAGGAAAGCAAAATAAACTGATAGGCCTCCAACAAAAGTCTGATGTATATTCCAAAAGTAAAAATAGCCAAGACATGTTTGAAAAATTTAGCTAATTTATGTTTAAAATCGTCTTCATTGTATTTATCTGGGTTGGGTGAACAACATAGACATAGATTAAGCAGCACCAAAACTCATATAGTGATAACCAGTCCGAAATTATTGTTAAATGTGCTTCCTGACTCTAGCCCAATATCTTCTAATTCTATACGATTTTGGGCCTTGTCCATCCATTTTAGTGGAATCTCTGATACCATGTTCGATTTTATCGGGAGAAATCCCATGTTAAATGAGAAAAATCCATTATTTGTAATATACCCAATAATATCTGATGGGAGAGAGCTTTTGGTCAGTAAAAGTAGAAGCATCAGTTGGACTTGATTTGCCATAGCCCAAAGAGCCATTGGAGCAGACAAATTCATTAATGAAACAAGAATCCCTATTGTTGAGCCAATGCCTGTAGCTGCAGTGGCCCCTGATGACATCATCTGAGCTGACTCAGAAACCTCTACATGCCTTCAAGAAAAGTCTTTGTTAAGGCTGTATCCATCAACTCAGGTGTTTCATTTAGTGTTAATTTCAGAATCACATGTTTTTCAATTCTCAATGATTCATTTAAGCCTTCAAGAACTCTGAGAAGTTATGTTTCCTCCATTTCACACCCAATTTTCTTCAATTTCTCAAGAATCACTTCAGCCATCTCCAGAATCCGAGTTTCCATCATCTCACTTTTCATTGACAATTACTTTTCCATCTCCTCAGATAGGTGTTCATACATCTTTTTGAGTGCTAGATCCTCCTGTTCAACTATATCCATTCTCAATGGCTCAAGTAGAAGATCATCCATCGTCATCATCAGTATTATTATCATCTCAATAAGTTGCTAAAGAATTAAATCTTCTTCCATCTCCGCAATTTTCAGTTCATTGGGCTGGTTGGATAACAACAGGTTGTACACAACTCCAATAATCCTCAATTTTTCAACTAGAGTCTCATCCATCACCATTGATTTCTCCTGAATCATCTCACTCTTCAAAAGTTCCCTTTGTGCCATCTCCTCAGGTCTCGAAGCAATTGACTGCATTATTAGAGCATGAGCCTGTCTCAAACATGCAGGCTTCGCTTCAGCCACCTCCGTTGACTGCATCACCTTCATCTCATTCTTCCATATTTGTTGGCTGGAGTACTCCATCTCCACAAGTGTTTAAGTCTAGAGAAGATTTAGTGAGAAAAATTAAGAAATATAAAGAATAATTTTGCTTACTGTTAGGGTAAAGAGCTGATGAACTCAATGTAAAGAATGAATCATCATCGGAGTATGAGAAACTTTGTAGAATATAGCTATTAGATGATGAACTGGTGAATCCTAGCTTTGATTCAAGTGTAAAAGATGGACTGATTGTGTATGATGAAGCTGTTATTTCTCCAAATCCATTATGATATAGCTTCCCTTTTGTATACCCAGTAGTACTGCTCATCCAAACCTGATTCCATCCTTCTACAAATGACTTTGGTGCTTACGTCTGACAGAATTATATTTGAGTCCTTTTGCCTTATAAAATCACCTTCCTGTCACAACTCCTGAAGCAGTTTAATACGGTCAAATAAGGATAAAATGGTTCATATTAGGAAGAAAATTATGTCATAAAGAAGTATTAGCAAATTTAGATTAATTTTGAGGCTTACCTCCACTTCCAGTTCCTGATAAAGTAATCAATTCGTTCGTCCCAGCATCCTAGAGTAATGAGAGAGCAAGGTACATTTATGGAGCCTTTTAGGAGAGTGTAGCCATGGTAAGTAAAGAAGAAAGCCCAATATTGGAATGAAAATTTGCCTGCTGGAGCTTGGAATACAGTGTCGATGAGAAGGTATCTATGAGTTTTATTTCTTTGACAATACGTGTTCGATGAAAAATAGATTCCTTGCTTTGTAACTGCTGGCCGGGAAGAAGTATCCATCGTGAGCACTGGAGCTCCTGAAGTCGAACTTTCCTCTGTAAAAGTTGTTGGATTCCCACTAAAGGTGACTCAAAGCTTACACCAACCCTGAAAATTTATAATTATACTCCAAATTCTTTACCACACAAAATCAGCTGATCACGATGCCCGCTACGGCCCACCAATTCTTCTATGTCAAAATTAGGATCTTTCATAGTCCCAAATTTCCTAATTTCTCGTACTAAGGGACATGCTTATTAAAGGAGCAAGCGAAAGGCATTAACTTTACTTTGACCATTGCTAATTTTAATATATTAGATTAGACTTGGCTGGGGTTTTGGGGTTTTGGGGTTTTGGGG